TATATATTATATATATTTAATTCTCACCTGAAGACTTTTTTTCATTGCTTTTTCAGAGAGAGTAGAAGGGGGGAGAGAGAGAGAAACATCGATGTGAGAGAGACACCTGGGTGGGCTGCCTCCTGCACGCCACCCGCCCAGGGCCAGGGATGGAGCCCGCAACTAAGATATGCGCCCTTGACTGGAATCGAACCCAGGACCCTTCAGTCTACAGGCTGACGTTCTAACCACTGAGCGAAACCGGCCAGGGCGTGTATAGATACATATTTTGAACCCTAAGATGTATTTCCCTGAAGACTCGTAAGTTCAAATTAAATTCTAACTTCAGTGTGTTAGGATGAGACAGGTTTTGCGCCTGGTCCACAGGTATTACCCTAAAAATGAAAGTTGAACTTGAAAACTTAACGAATAGACAATCCCCGAAAAATAAACACTGCAAGATGAAAAGGACTTTGACAGGCGAGTAATCTAAACCCTTCTGCAGTTGGCAAAGCCCGTGGGCAACTCCGGGCCCAGATGACCCTGCAGACCCTGCTACTGAAGAGCCTCCAGCCGCAGCCCGTGGGGACTCCGGGCCCAGATGACCCTGCAGACCCTGCTACTGAAGAGCCTCCAGCCACAGCCCGTGGGGACTCCGGGCCCAGATGACCCCACAGACTCTGCTGTTGAAGAGCCTCCAGCCGCAGCCCGTGGGGACTCCGGGCCCAGATGACCCTGCAGACCCTGCTACTGAAGAGCCTCCAGCCACAGCCCGTGGGGACTCCGGGCCCAGATGACCCCACAGACTCTGCTGTTGAAGAGCCTCCAGCCGCAGCCCGTGGGGACTCCGGGCCCAGATGACCCTGCAGACCCTGCTATTGAAGAGCCTCCAGCCACAGCCCGTGGGGACTCCGGGCCCAGATGACCCTGCAGACCCTGCTGGTGAAGAGCCTCCAGCCGCAGCCGAGCCCGGGCCGCTCCTCTCCTGTCCTTCACGCAGGGGCCCGAGGACAGGCCTGAAGCTCACTGTCTCCACGGCCCCTCTCCTTGGCACTGTGACCAGACTTCCACTTTCCCTACTCGGCTGACTCTTCCTGGCACAGCCACCACCACCCCACGTCCCAAAACCTGGGAGCTCCCTTTGGCTCTCATCTTACTTGTTCGGCACCTGACGCTGTGTCCCCCGATCCCCTCTCATCCCCCGCTGGCTCTCTCCTTGTCTGGCTTTACCTTGGGACTTTTTCAAGGGCTTCCTTTCCTCTGCCCCTAGACGCCGGCCTGCCTCAGGCAGCCGGTGGCCCTTTCCTTCCGCTCCCCGAATGCTCCAGCTGATCTCTCACATCTTCTTGGTTCCAACCACCATCTAGATCCTAAAGGTCACAAATCGAGATTTCAGCTCAGAACTGTCTGAGCCCCAGACTTAGATTGTTCAGCTGCCCATTAGATGTTGCTATTTGGATACCCTCCAGGTTCCTCAAACAAAACACAACAAAACCAAATGCGTTATCTGCCCCACCTAAGTTGCCTTTTCCTGTATTTATGCCTCTAGTAATACATCCAAACCACATGCGTTACTTTCCCGACATAATCAGCTTCCCTTGCATTTACTGTTTCATACAACCCTACAGACACCCAAGTCAGAAACCTGGGGTTATTACCAATATTTACTTAGTGTTTATGTTAGGCACTTATAAGCTTTGTAAGTTTTTGTCTCATTTCATTTTTACAACAATTATTATTATTTTAAGTTGAGTAAATTGAGGCAGGGATCCGTGGGTACCTTTCCAAACTAAGAGAGCTAATAAGGCAAATCTTTGCTTTTACAGAGATCAAGTATTTTGCAAAAACTATTTTGATCTAGATCCATTTCCCCTAAAGAAAATAAATACACAAGAATTCTCATTTTTGGAGACCAGATAAAAATAAGCACATAGACGTGTACTCGTCAAGGGAAAGCGTCTAAGACTTTGACTTGATTACTCTACGCACTGTCCTCAGCCTGTATTTAACTGAAGGAAGAGGCATTTCTGTTTCATCATTTTTATCTCCTCAACCTTAGCAAGTGCCTGCTTTTTAAACTGCCAGCTCTTAACAAGAAGCAGGATGACAAAGGTTTCCCCTTCCTGAGAGCATCTTAGACGGTTTTAACTGCTAACACTGTTACTTTCACCATTGAATCACATGAGATAAATCTTCCAGAGGCCATGAGGTCAACAAGCAAGGTTCCGTCAAAGCTGGGAAACAGCATCTGTATCTGGATTTTTCTCATGGTTTCAAGCAATAAATCACAGGGAGAGAGAAATAAGAAGGCATTTATTGAAATTAAATCATCCGCTTACAAATGGTCCATTTTTTCCTAGTCTGGAAGATCTGAAAAGAAAACAAAAACCCTGGATGCGTATGTAGTAGGGGAAAATGCTAATCTTAAGTAATATATATTAAAAATTTTTAGAAATAAGACTTGCGTAGAATAGTAGAAATATGATTTATTAAAAAATCGAATGTGATGAGAAAAGATAAGAGGATCATTTTCCTCTCTAGCCATCCTTCGGGAAGCGAAGGGGGAAAGAAAAGAGGCAGCAGACACTGCCCCCGAATACAAAGTTTCGGGACAGCGACACAGAACAGAACTGCCCACAACTAAAGGAGTGAACAGCAGTCAGATCCAAAAACGAAGACGACAAAACGTCGGAATCGCCTGGAGGTAGGGCAGCTCATCTCACACATTTTTGAATCTAGAACAAACCCTCCGAAGTTGCTGACAGACAGTGCGGGGAAAAAACCATCACTTCAAAGAGGATCACGGCAACTCACGACGACAGGGCCACGCCTCACGGGCATGCACCCCACGGCGCTAAGTTACTTTTCATAGCACGTGGGGAATTACGAAAAATTTGCCACGGCGACCACAACTACTCTCCCCGCTTGAAAAAGTATTAAATACATTCTGTCTATTTCCATAAGAGGAAAGAACTGTCGCTTCAAACGTGTGTCTATCAAAAGGGACTGAAAGTAGCTCCCCTGGGAGGCTGCCCAGGTCAAAAGAAGTTTTCCGAGTTAATGCCAACGTGATGTTTCAGATGGAGCGAGGAAAAGCAAATGATTAAACGAAGGGTAAGTGATTAATAAAAAGTCTAAACTACAGAGACGGCGTAACGGCAATGACCAGATAAAACGACGCAGACAGGACCTCCCGCCTGACACTGCGACCTGCGCCCAAGCTCACCCTCCACTGACGGCTCCCGGAGGCCGGCTCCCCTCCCCGTGGTCGTGTCTCTTCACCTTCCTTCTCTCTCCTCTTTCCTCTCCCTTCTGGTCAGAGTTCCGCCCCCTTGGTCACCAGTCCTGTGTTTCTGTTAGAGACCAAGGGCCTCTGTGGATTGACTGCTCCCCTCCCCACAGCGAAGCTTCCCTTCGGCTCAGAGCACCCGAGTGGGCTCAGTTCTGCTACATCTGACAAACACTGTCATTGGGATTATCTTGTGTTGGGTGCTGGTCTCGCAAAGATTAAAAGTCATGCTTTAGGGGCTCAAATCTGACAATAGAAACAATGAGTGCACATATGGAGACGGATGACTGATGAGATGCAGCAGTGGAGCATCTCTGAGGATCCGCAAGTAGACCCGACACACAACACCCTTGAGCACACGCAGCAGGCCGCAGCCCCTGGAGGAGAATTTGAAGGATGCACATACGCCCGTTTTCCATATGACTCCTACCTGTGCACACTCAGAGACCTACCCCTACTCCTTCCAGGCCAAATTACTGAAATATAAGTAATCATGACAATGATAACCAGAACAAAGGTTTGTGCTCATTGGTACCATGAAACTGAACAGTTAAAACTCTACTAAATGCTGTTTACAACAGAATCACCTAAAACACAATAACCTAGGTAAGTCAGGAGTAAAGAAATAGAAAAAGAAAAGTAACCAAAAGATTACTGCGATCCCCATGAAAATCCCAGTGTCTTCTTTTAAAGGAACAGAATGAGAAATCATCAGATTTGTATGGAGCCACAAAAGACCCCAAATAGCCAAAGCAATCCTGAGAAAAAATACATGAAACTGGAGATATCATGCTACCTGACTTCAAATTATACTACAGAGCTATGATCATCAAAACAGCATGGTATTGGCAGAGAGACACACGGATCAGTGGAACAGAGTAGAGAGCCCAGATATAAAACTATGTGTATATGGGCAGATAATTTTCGACGAAGGAGCCAGAAACACACAATGGAGTAAAGACAGTCTCTTCAACAAATGGTGCTGGGAAAACTGGAGAGCCACATGCAAAAGAATGAAACTGGATTACAGTTTGTCCCCATGTACAAAAATTAACTCAAAATGGACCAAAGACCTAAATAGAAGACCCAAAACAGTAAGTTACATAGAAGAAAACAGGTACCCAACTCACGGACCTTGGTCGTAGAGAACATTTGCTGTATTTTGTATTTGTCTTTCTTTGTCTGATAGATACCGTATTTGTCAGACAAATAAAAATACAATATTATTTGACTTACATGTGGAATCTTAAACAAAACAAAACAAGTGAATAAACAACAACAACAACAACAAAACAACAAGAGAGAAACAGAAGCATAGATACAGAGAACAGGCTGACAGTTGCCAAAAGAGAGGGGGTGGGGAGATAGTAATTCAAAAAATACAATTTTTTAAAAAGAGGAACAAGTTAAAGGAAGGAGAGGGAGCTGATGATTTCTCTTTGCATTTCGTCATAGTTTCCTTACTGATGTGCTTACAGTTGCTATGGTTTTATTTGCTTGTTCATGCTCCCCAGGGGCTGATCATACTGGAGACTTTGGTTGTCTGGCAGACACTTGAATAAGAATTACTCTTTTTTAAGGGGACAAATTAGTTTTTTTCTGAGAGTCAACTGAAAAAAGCATATAAACCTCAGGGGAATCTAGAGTAATTAATCTGTTGAATATTTTGTGTGTTGAGTTAAACACGTCACTAGTGAGACCCTCACACTTTAACAACTTTCTAAATATTTACCAAGATCTTTAATAAGTGAGAGTGCTTCCCATGATATAACGACTCCACCACCATCATCCATGGCACCCTGCCCAACGTCCCAGCTGTCCAGATGTCCACTGACCAGTACGACCTAGAATAAATAATAAAAACAAAAGAAAATAAGACTGAGCAGAAATGACATGAAAGAGGAAGATTCATACGAATTCCAAATACAGATATGAAACTTTCATATTTTTTCTATTTTTTATGCCTTAGAAGATCCAAGCCATTACTGGTGGAAGACTTAGTGTAGAAGGCTTCACACAAAAAGATGTAAGGTCATCCTAATAGTTATAAAAGTTCTCACCTTATACTTCTCTTTATTAACACAATTTCAAATACTAAGAAAAATATCTTATTACTAACAGGTGTTTGACAACTTAATTATAATACATGAAAGTGGCGTTCAAAACTTCAATCTCTCTAAAAATCAATGGAAAAAAGATCCTTGGGTGAAGATTAACAAAAAAGAAAAAAAAAAGACAGAAAATGCCCAATACTGATGAGAAGGTGGAGCCACTGGAACTCATACACTGCTGGTGTGAGTAGAGGTACAACCACTCTGAAAAACTGACTTATCTACTGACTCTGAACATACACACACCCTGAGACCCAGCAATTCCACTGTTATCAATAAACTCAACAGAAATGTACGTGTGTGTATATATTCTCACCGAGAGAGATGGCCTAGAATGTTTTTAAATATTCATAATAACTCCCATCCCCTTCCCCCCCAAGGACACTATTTACATGCCTGTTAACAGCGGAATGAATGAATTGCGTTGTATCTATCAACGCGACGTTGCACAGCAGCGAGAATGAACAAACGCAGCACATGATAAATGTACATGAATCTCATAAACGTAATGAAGACCGAAAGGAGCCAAACAAAACACTGTGTCATGTGTAATTCCATTTGTCTGGAATTTAAAACACGCACAACAGGAGAGTGGTGTCCAAGGTGAGAGGGGTTAGTGACGGGGGCGGGGGGGGCACAGGGGAGCTTCTGAGGTGCTGGTCATATTCTGGTTCCTGACCTGGGTACCGGTCACCCAGCTGTGCTCAGTTTGTAAAAGTTCACCTTGTTGTACACTTAGGATTTGTGTGCTTTCTTTTAGAATATTACACTTCAACAAAAAGTTAAAAACACACAAGATCAACAGCTGATGTCTATGTACAGAATGTAGTGAATAAATCAGTTAAATAAATCTTCTCGATGGTTAATGAAAAGCCCATGACTTAGGGAAAGCGGGATTTGGTTTGAAGTACCAGGGCGACCCCTTGCACTGCCTGCTTCCCTGAGCAGCTGCACCAGCTCCCCTTGACTCCGAATACACAACAGACCCAGCCCACGGTGACTTCATCGGAGTCACAAACAAGCACAATGCCCCAGACTAACAAATGGCCATGAGATGAACCCAAATGGGTTGTTCCTAAGGAAAAATAAAATAAAATATTGCATTAGCAGGAAACTCTGATGCAGTAAGTGGTGTAATCCCATGAGGAATGAACGTTAGTCAACATTCTCTCCACTCCCAGAACCATTTTCCCAGTGAAGTTCAAGTCCCAGTGAATAAAAAGCGTCAAAATGCATTTTAACAAACTTTCCCTCAGATAATACAGAAGGGTAACTTATGTTATCCTTCAGATTTCCTTCAGAATAACTGAGGTTGTTTTAAAAATCACATTTCTATGCGTTTGCAGAAATACCTCCATTCTCTCATCCAGAATCACCGCTTACACTAATAGACGGGGGAAATGGTTTAGAATAATAGGAAATTAAATGACATCCTACAGGACAAGGTCTTTGGCATTGTGCTCGGGAGGAATGATCACAAACTATTTGGATTATAAGAGCTTGTTTTAAAAAATTTTTTGAGATCAGAAAAAAAATTGGGGGCCACCATGAGACAGTAGTTGTGATTCCAATAGTATCTGATTTAAAGACTAAGTAATAAAAAAATAAAATAAAAACCAAGTAATGACAAGAAGCTAGTTCTAATTCAGTAGAATTTATAACGAACCTGAGTTTTTCTCACCGTAAGAGCAGCTTCTACCTACACTTAGAAAACTGTGCAGGAGGCCTCGCTGAGCGTGGCCCCACGAGCTAACGGGCAGGCAGAGCACACCGGCTCAGGGCAGGCAGAGATGAACGTTCATCAGACACCTTTGCATCTGGCTGAAGCAACCAGAAAACAAAGGACTACCCAGGGATACGGTGAACTCCAGTTCACGGAGAAGAGCCCCCTGGAAAGGACGAGGGGAGAGGCCAGCGCCTCCTCTGCCTCTGTGGCCAGGTGCAGGCAGGGAGCCCCGAC